GGCGGTCGAACCCCCTAAAACGCCCCCGAGTTCTTCAAGTTCGCCCTCTGTAAGTTTGTCAACAGGCGGTTCGCTCCTAAAGACTGTACCACGCGTTCGAGATACTCCCCTCTCACCTTTGTTTCTCTCAAATATGCTTGTTCCTCTACATTGTCAGGCTAAGGGAGAGACGCCGTTTCTCCTCTCTCTCACTAGCAGGCAGGAGAGGAGACGGCTCAAAAATCTACTTACGAGACAGGGTGCAACGAGCTTGAACAGAGGCGCATTGCCCGGGAGAAGATACGCCGGGTGCCCGAGAACACAGCACGGCTGAATCCTCCAGGCAACCTGCCTACACCTCCCTTCAGCGAATACGGGGTTCTACGGGAGACAGTGCGCGCATTGCCAAGACGGACAATTACCTGGAGATGTACAGGTGCATAGACTTGCAGGCGGAGAACTCGTGAACGAGAGAATAATAGGAAACGATGCCCAGGTAAAACAGTCTGGTGTACGGTCTTAACATTTTGACGGTAATTCGTTTTAAAAAATCTGTACGAGCTTCAAAAGTTCCTGACCAAAAATTTCTTTGTATTTGAAAGAAGTCTTAACCGACCGTCGAAATGTTAACGCTGTATCGTCGTAATATCGTTCAATAATTTTGCACTGGAGAATATACATATAGTTTCTCCGATAATCACGAAATAAACTGCTGTCCCAAAATCAGTATAAGAATACAGAAAATTTGAAGACAACGATTCGAAATCGTTCGATCTTCTTTGCCGTTGTTTCGAGAAAAAGATTTGAACGATGACAATGTTTTACTTGGGAAGAGGCAAAGAATTAAGTAAATAATAGCAGGTGCATAATTCCATCTTTACACTTTTTATCGATCGTAGAAGTACTAAGGTCAGTCACTAGTACGACGATGGAAAGATGCGTGTAGTAAGAAGAGAATAAAAATAGTGAAGGTCTAGTCAAGAAAGATATACTTCAGACATGAAAAGTGAAATCTATCGGATCAGTCCGTTAATCTCGCAGCGTCGAGCGATCGCTTTCGTTAACGAGCAAATTAAACTCAACCAGACCACGCGTTTCTTCCAGACAAGTTGAAACGTGTCAAATCGATACTCATTAACGCTCTATTAATATAATATCCGTCGTCGAAATAATATTCAAGATCGAACGAAAGCGTGACCCAACACTAGCAATGTATAAAGGGGTATCGAGCTCTAAAAGAGTAGTTGCAATCTCTACTCAAATATGCACCCAGCTAAAGAAGTTGCCTAACGAGCCAAAGGTTTGCTAACAACATATTCTACGAGAGACTGTACACTGCTACACACACTACTATGTATTTACGGAGGTGTCGCGTCTACTTAAATGACGGTCGCGTTACTCAGACATTCGTAAATTCCTCGACGTTTTTCGGTCTCTACATTGATATAGAAATTCCGGAGATTCAATGAAAAACCGATCAAGTCACGATGCAAATGAATTCACGCGCTTTTACTTCTTAGGTGTCCAAGAAAACGGCATAACGAATATGATTTCTACAAAAGTAGCATTCACGAGTATCTAAAACCGTATGAATTTCCTGGGACACCTGATATCATGCAATTCTTTCCGGTTACGCATGCTTCGCTTCTATATCCGAAAATGACCAGGCGAACCGACGATGCTTTTCGTAAATATTTTCGTTCCCGCGTCTGCGATGCTCAGTGGGGGGTTAGAAAAATAAGCCGTAGGCATCGTTTACCTTCTAAACTGTTTTAAAAGCAATCACGGGTCGACGTCGCATTTTCATGCTAACCGAGAAGAATCACTGACAAGTTTGAAAGCGAAACGCTATTAGGCTTGTTTACGCGGCTAAGGTAGAAGCTTCCCATTGATCGCTGCTAAAATTACGATCACGGAACTATGTAAAGAATTAGATTAGCCCCGCTACGGAGACGATGAAAGATTGAAAGAGCTACGAAGCTGGGTCAAAGAATCGATACGGGAAAGAAAGCTCTTACATTCGATGCGTCTACGTCGCTAATGAGTCTAAACAGTAAGAAAGACTTTCGGTGAAAAGAAGAAATTGCCCAAAACGTGGAGTTACCGAAGCAGAGATCGTCTGAAACACGGTCGTAAACTTTGAATTGGCTCTTATAGGTTTGTACATGTTATAGACGCATGTGTACTCTGCACCGTAATTCCAATAGCAGCTCTGGTCCCGGGTCCCGGGCATCCGGGGTCACCATAGCAACGGGAGAGCTCCTACCCCGTTTTCCACCCCACTTTGCGATTCCGTTTTTGAAGCATGTTTCAATTGATAACGCGTTGCTGGATGTACATACGCACGCACACACACGCACGCACGCAAACGGACACATACACGAGTCGAAAGAATAAGACGTTACACGGGTACAAAGAGGGTGGTCGCGTCCGTCGGTTCCCTAGGCGGACCAACAATGGATATATCGTGGTAAAATACCCAGGATACTATCTTTCGTAACGTTAGGAATCGTCAACGGGTCAAACAAGAAGAAGAAGAAGACGAAGAAGAAATAGGAAGAGGCAGTTTATTCGTTTGTCTCTGTCGAGCGAGTCTCGCACCTTGCCGTTGCATCTTTGGCAGCTGTTAGCACTGACACACCGGAACGAACTGTTTCGCGATTAAGAGGGAGATCCTAATACGTTTGAGCCTGGGTTGTATCCGATCCCTTCGTCTCAAGGAGGATCTCTTATTCCACGGCGTATCGACTGGCCTGCGCCGATTACAGGAGAGGAAACTCGAGCGACATTACAGTCCGCCTGTATGATTGATGAACTTACTTTTCTCGCGGTTCTTACGTGCCTTCATCGGCGATTCACGATCGAACGATCGCCTTTAGCGATCCAACACGCTCGATGCTTAACTCTAAAACGATTTCGTCCGGTTCTTTCTAACCGAATATCGAGCTTGATCGAACCGGTGTCTCTTCCAGCTACGCTTTCCTTCTTTCCTCTGTTCCTCTCTTTCGATTCCTTCGGTTCAGGTGTTGCGTCTTGGCTCGTCGTTCAAACCGATCGACGATGTACGCCTTTAATTCACCGATCGATGTCCCACGGCGGACTAAAGTCACCCGAACGACTCCCGTAACGATGTGCGCGCTGCCCTCATGCTGATGCACCGATGAAACAGCTGCTACGCAAAAGCACGGGGTTTGCTTGTTCCCGCGCAAGCTCAGACACTCGTTAAACGAACTAAGTTACGAACATCGTCGAATCGAGAGATGAATATTATTTGAATAAATGTTCCGCTCGTTATTAGCCGTTTATCTCACCGTGCAGCACATTTCCTTTGACCTCGTTCTTTAGGGGACGACCTCGTTCTTCCTCATCTGTTTATGATCTTTGAGTCTCTTCTTTCATGAATGGAAAGCGATATCTGTTTACGTTTTGAGTTTCTGTATATTCAACTTTACACGATTTAGGTCATATTCTTAATAATTATCGTTAAAATATACCTTTTCATCAAGTGCTACGCTTTTCCTCGAGTGCTGATCAAAATTTATGTACATTTTTTATGCGCACGATTTATGCGTGTATACTTCTTAGTCGACTGAAAAAATTGTAATTATTAATATTAACGAATGTAGCGAGAGCTGAATTTAAAAGATGAATACCGAAATGCATACATTTTTAATTAATTTACCTTCTCTCCAACAGGAAATACGATAGATGAACGTCTGACCACGGACGACTTTTCTACTGAGTGCTTTGCGTCCTCCTATGCATTGACCATTACTACTAGATTATTGCTACCGTCGAAACAAATAATTCTTTTCTGTTATAAATCAAAACAGTACATTGGCCTGCTTCTTTTCGATTTTACATCATGTTCAGTGACAGAGTAATCGTTTCATGTATCTGTACTATGTACTTTGGTGTGTAAACACATTGTAAAGTAAACAAGGATCACGTCCCGTTTGAAACCGGGCCAAAAGTGCGTACATAAGGACTGGTATTTTAGTACGTGTTAGTCGTCGATAAACAAGTGACAGCAAAGCATGCTCAAAATTATTAGTGATCAAGAATACATACGATTAGTAGTAACTGCCGATAAGTAGCAATCAATTGTTGCATTCGTGGTTACCATAAAGTCTTGAAGTATACCAGATGTGAAAAATGTGAATGACCTTTCGATTTATCATTCGAGGATTCTGGAACGACTTGAAATTTATTTTGAGGAATAATGACGATATTGCGTGTGCAAGAAATGGATAGTCAAATCGATGAAATTTGGAAACGTGTTCACTTGTTGAACAAAGTTACCCCGTCGAGATGGGCTACTCACACGAACAGTAGGAACATTATCGATCGATACTATCGAATTGTAAGATCGTTATTTCTAGATGGCAGGATAATAGCAATTACAACCGGTACTTGTTTTAACGAATAACCACTGTGTATGCAACAATAACCAAAGATCATGTAATTTGTTGGTATAATCGCGATATTTGATATTTTATATTTGTGCTAGTATTTCGATAATAATATAAATAAGTTTGTTAAATAGATTATGGTAGAATCATTTAATAGAGAAAAAAGTCATCGAACGGTTGTGAAAATTGAGAAACGATTCTCTCAGATCGAAGTAAATTTAAATGAAGAACAGAGAGACACCTTTTGTAGAAAATTTATTTTCGGTTAATTGTAAAATGGTTTTCTTAAATTAAATCTGGCTGCACATAATTCGATTAACAGACGAATATTTCTATCGGCCATATCAGAAATGGGTAAGAACTAACAGGATTACGACTGACTGTCTAGATGTTTGAAAATGAACGGAAACGATATTTCAAGATTATCGTACAAAGAATTACAAGCCTTAGCTCTTAGATATAGAGTACCAGGTAACATAAAGGTAACTTATTTATCGATTAGAAATTAAAATTAAGAAATACAGGAACTTATCCTTACTCTTCAACTTTCATTGCAATTTTCGACAAGCGTGAAAATTGATTTTTTGAAGGATCGATTATGATTTTTGATCGTAGAAGAAATTGCTGGTTAAAGTATTGCAAGCTGCAAAAGGTGGCAATGAAAACGAAGTTGGTCGGCTGTTACAAGATCTCAAACAAACTCGTAAGAAGAAGGTAAGAAAAATCCAAGTCGGAAAATTAGGGTTAACCTCCACACCATTACATAGTCCTGATTACGTTATGGCCGATGATTATTATTGCCCGCAGCAGCAACCACCTTATCAATGGGTAAGTCGATGTTCATTTGATTTCATCCGATTGTTGTATAGAATATTTAAATTTATACAAATGTACCTATTATATTGTAAAATATCATGTTTATACAAATCGATTAAACGATCGCGTAGTAGGCGGGAACAACAGATAAATTCATAGATCGATTAATCGATTTAATGAGAAATTTAATATTTACTAATTAGTAAAAGTTGCAAACGTTGCACATATTACATCAATTTTCTTAATATTGAAAATAAAAAAAATAACAATTTTTTTTTTATTAAATTTCTATTTTTTATTTTCAGGTTGGAGCAGAAGAAGAAATTGCAAGTAGAGAGGATGATGATCATAAAATTCCACACTATGAAGAGTTTAAACAATTCTTGTTAAAGAGAATACAGAGAGAATTTCAAACGTATGATACAAATAATAATGAAATACAAGACTCAACAATAGTGGACTTAAGAACAGCACCTGTTTTATCTGATGTGCAGAAAGTTCCTTTAAATTCCAGTAATTATATCAAATCTAATATAATTGCTGTTAATAACACAGATTCCTTTGTATATCAACCAAATGATAATGTAGAATATCAAACATTAGAGGACACAAATAACAATGTGCAAGGATCTATACTTTTAAAAAAAATGTTGCAAGCACCAGTAGGTGCAAATTTAGGAGAAATAGCTAGTCCTGTGCTTGGAAGTTATCGGTTTTGGTCAATGGAACAATATCAGTCTAATAACTTATTAGATAATTCTGACACTTTAACTGCTGAATCAGATAATCAAGACAATGAGGAAAATTTAGAAGGCAACACTGAATGCTATGGTCTTCTGAGTAGTATTAAGGGAGAGTATTTTTTAAATGAACCAACATTTGTGAAAAGTGTTGCAGAAATTGGTCAACAAATATCCAATGTCTTAACACATGAAAATAATAATGCATATAAATATCCTACTACAAATATTGGTATGCAACAAGAATATGAAAACTGGACTATCACCAATGTCATGGAGGCAACAGATAACAATTGTGTATCGGATGTTCAGTCTTCAAAAGTGTTTCAACCCATTTATTATGATAATATAGAAACTGATCCTCTGAATAAGCCTGAAAGTGATGGGAGTTTAATACATCAGTACAGGGTAACAGAAAATATACATTCTTACAGCTCAAATCAAAATTTATTAGGTTTGAATGCCACTGAAGAAAATCAGTACATCATTCCTAATGTGCAATCTGATTGTACTAACACATATTATTTACAAAACTTAATCAAAGGTAGTACAGAAACTAATGCAGAATATTTACAAAATACACATTCATTTACAAATGCAACCATAGATCAAGATACGTACACATCTACCATTTCTCAAACATTTTCTAATAGCAATTGCTACAACTCTGATTTACAATATAAATATTCATGCTCACAAAATAATCAGGAAAGTATTCCACTATCTGGGCATTTAGAACAATGTCAGCAAAATAGTAATTCTACACAAACTGAATCTAATATTGAAAAAAATGTGTTAAGTGCAGCAGAAAAGGTCCAAACAAATGGTATGTAGTTGGTACTGTTTATGGTACTGTGCACAAAAATAATATTTTATATACATTAAATTACATTTTTTTTTTAATATTTTTAGGAGTACTAGATCCATTTTGGCCTAAAAAATTATCTAAAATTTCTGCAGATTCAATTTTGGAGAATATATTAAATTTTATTAATACCAAACGTATAGATTTATCAAAACTAGAACAAACATCTTGTGTATATTGTTACATTGCTCCTATTGTTACACATACACCAGTATCAACAAATATATCATGTTCTCAAAAAGAAAAGTTTGTTGCAGAATATAGGCAACATTCTTTTTCTCCGTATTGGTTACTCTATAATGATACTTCGTGCGGAATGCGCATGGCTAATTTACAAACAGAATTCGAAAATCGTATGGTAGAAAACTCGCCAGTTCTTTACACGCCATCGTCAAACAGCAATTCAGAATTAAAAGACTCCGTTGAAGAGAACGAGGATTCAATTATTGATGTTTGGTCACATAATTATTCCAATTACGAAACAACAGCGGAAAAAGATGCGCATATATGCGATGATTTAAACGTTGAAGTAACAGATTGTTTACTTTCGGTAATAAATACAGATCGATTGGTCGATCAGACAGACAACGTTTCTAAGAGCCCAGCTCAATAAAGAACAAGTTGCGCGTATTACTGATAGTACATAGAATTGTATGTATCATTGTTAAAAAGAAAAAAACGAAAACGTTGATATTATGTAATTAAAGAAAAAATAGTTACACATTATTTATATATTTAATGGAGAGATTAAATCTAACGGAAATCGCTCTAAGAGAGTAATATTAATTCATTACGTTATAATAATCATGTAAATCTATTTTTGCAGTATTAATAAACATAAAATGTTATTAATAATCATGGCGAACTGGTAATCGTTATAAACACGAAAGGAAAATAAAACTTTTATTTCTTTAGTGTTGGTACTTTCGATAACACAAACTCGTCCGAAACTATTTGATCTAATTATAAATAAAGATATATAGAATTTCTTTCATAAATGGAGGATAAAAAAACGAACGAATGATGGCTTTAGAAAGTGACTTAATAATCATTTGAGATAAAGTGTATGAAATTTTTCTTTCGTTTATTGTCTTTATCCTTGATTAATGTACGTATTATTATATATTTGATTAAGAAATAAATGGCAAGTGAACATATCAAATTTGTACTCACTTGGAATTCCTTCTGTTTGCATTTGCGTCTTCAGATAATTGTAGACTTTAACAGGAATCGATTCTTTTCTTCGATGTTTGTATACGCCTCTTTCGGAATCCACATTTTTTGAACTATTTTGTTTTTCGGAAGATTTACCCGGTGTTACGTGAACAGTATACATTTTTTCGTTTTTAATTTCTTTTTTGAAATTTTGAATATTATTTTATTTCGCGCTTTATCTGTGAGCAGCTAATGTTTTACGTTTAACTTTTTATAAAAAAAAGTTATATTAGGATTTAAATTTGCGGCAAAATATGAAAGAAACTTATACGAGTGATCTCATGTGCGAGTTCACATCAAAACAAGATCTCTGACACTACTGCTTTTAAAAAAAAAGCAATACCGCTATGTAGGTAGAGTGCTACAGCGCATTCGCTCTGTATCTAATGAGATCCTTGAAACGCGAGACTAATTGTTTCACCGCTTCGTTCATTTTTGCACGAAGATAACTCCACAATCAAAAGAAAAAAACTGAACCAGTATAGCTTTAAAATTATTATAGGCAACTTCGCTTATGGAATGAATACATTTATGTTTTCAATAAGTTCTTTTAATACATTCGTTTTTGAAAATTTCATTATTAATACAATTGTAAAACTTGTACATTATTTTAATTTATCACATTGAGAATACTTTTTTTCTGGATAAGCGTTGTATGCTTTTAAGCAAGTGATGTAACTTTTGATTATTTTAAAAAGAATGCGATAAATTTAAATGTTCGATACCATCACTGAATCGATATTAATTTACGAAATGCTTCATGGATGTCGCTCGATACAAGAAAAGTATTTAGATAAAACAGAAATCTGAAGATACATTTTCTCGTATATAACAATTTGTTCCTAACCTGAAAATAATTTCAATCGCAATTCAGATAGAAAAATGTTCAAAACAATATATTTAAATCATTAGTCTTTCTGTTAATAATAAGTTAAACATCGTACTTTAATCGTGGTAAAATATAAAACTAGAAATATATAAATTTTCAACAATGATGAGATCAATGACAGTAGGATTAAATGTTTTAACAATCCGAAACTTGAATGCTTATGATTGTTTAACATTTAATGGAACTCAAATTCAAAGTGTACGATGGAAGAGAAAACCGATTTGGTTACCAACAGCAAAAAGTAAATTATTTAGAGTACCGCAAAAAAAACACTTACCTGAAGATGAAATGCGTGAACTTAAACGTTTGTTTAATAATTACAGAACACAGTGTAACTCTTTATTGTATGTTATTAATAATACTATTTGTATTATAATTATAGTACATAAGATGACATGATATGTTTGTTTCAGAAAATATTTTCATATAAAATACAGGGATAGTATACAATGTTTAGATACACAGGTTATAGAAAATAATATAAAAAAAGATTTTGAAATGTCCAGTTACATAAATGACAGATGGAATGAACATGTAGCTGCATTACGAGAGCAGAGATTAGCGAAAGAAAGAAAACAACGTAAAGAAGAAATTAGGGAAAAAGTAAAGGCGAAAGAAGAAAGGGAATTGAAACTTCAAGAGTTAATAGATACACAAGTTAAGAAGGCAAAAGAAGAAGCCCCAACATTTATTACTCGCGAAAATATAGATGAAGCTATTGAAAATGCATTAAAAACTATCGTAGATCACAATGCTGCACTTGATCCTAAGGGACGATTTCATAAGAATATTCCTGAAAACTCTGTTTCATCAAATGTAATGAATTAAATAAAAGATATTGTGTAATTACCTATGTCTTGATAAGTAGTTTGATTCAATAAATGTGACAACTTTGCAATTATATTTGTATATTTACTTCATTACTATCAAATTTAATTTAATAAATTGTTCTAATTCACAGAATATGTTTATTGAAAATGATCATATATACTGTAATGTATTTTATAATGTACAATAACAAAAAGTTTGTAAACACATTCATTCAAGTTTGGTAAGCATATACGCTTCACAATATGGTACACAGGGATTAATTATTTTTTAATTCTTCAACCTGTTTCTCCATATTGTTGTACCTTACACACCGTGCAACATAAGTGCACAAATGTTATTTTAACAATCTAATTAATGTATTATCGTCATACAGTTTTACAAACGCACATAAATGTTTTGCGAGTAAAAATTATATAATAGTATTATTTGCCTGCATCGACGATAATCACAGATATTAATTCGTATGATGCTTATTTTTGTAGTATTCACTGAGATATCGTAACTTCAACACCATGAAAATCTATACCTGAATGAGATTGTGTTCGAACGCATGATTAAAATGTTTATACACGATTCTACTTGCATTATGTATTGCGACATATTTGTTAAGAATAATTACTTTTACATTTCATACATATTTTTAACATATTATGGTGTAATCGTATTATCGGAATATCTTTGGTTTAAACATACACAATTTGTTTAGAAAAAGAAAAACGATCGTAATTAGATCATTATGGTTTTATAAGTAAACTTCAAAGTTTAAACATTTCAAATATTCAGATATTTCAGAAAATGAACAAACGCGTTTAATAGAAGTAATATTTTAGTTCAATTATAAAATGTAGAAAAACAGTAGACATCTGTTCTTTTACATGTAATTATCTCAAATTATATGAATAGCAATGTTAATGGTATATTTCTATTCTGATATTTATTGTACGTGTTTGTGTGTATATGTTCCTAAAATTTAAGAACAACTCTTTGAATTTAAAAATCTACAATTAATAACGAAGCTTTGTATGAAAATACAATGCTACGTCTAACACAATCGGCAATGATCAAATAAATATAACAAACTCTTTTACATGATTTAAATATTGAACGGTAAAATTAAGTATTAAAATATTAAATGGTATAAGCATAGACCTTCTCATAGTTACAAAACGAATTGGTAAACTTCTAAGGTAGCAATTTATGCTGTATACATTACTTTGAAAAAAGTGCAAAGGAAAGCAATAATCATGATATTTGTTATTAAATTACCATTGTCATTTTTCGATCGTTAACATAAGTATCGTAGGCATTTCATTACTTTTATAACTATCAACTATGGTATCTTTGACATGAAAAAGAGCTATTGCACTTTGATACTGATTCTAATATATGTATGAAACTATTGTTTGGGGGCATCATTAAAGTATCGTATGAACACGTTAGCAAAACGATTTTCATTGTAAAATTTCTGAGCTTTGGGTTCTATTTCACACGCCTACTTTTTACTTATCTTATACCCTACTTGTGAATGCTACTATTGGTTTTAAATGTATCAGTTTTTTGCAGTGCATCTTATATTCTCATGTAAAATTAATTCAGCTTAATCGTAGATATACAAAATTTGTTTCTAAATCTTGTAAAATCTATTGATGTAGGACGTACTGAAGCACCACAATTTAAACATGTGTTGCATCTGTATTTTATGAACTTGGTAAAAATATAGAATTTATAAAAGTTTTTACTTCCGTTTGTTATTTTATGTGTGGTATGTATGAAAATGATGGCACATGTATTTCTAAAGCGAACTTGGCGATAAGTATGCTTAAACACGACTTTTCCTTTTTATTTGAGCTCTGTATCCTTTGTTTGGTATAAACAAAAAAAATGATAAAACATTGCATCATGTATTTTATCGTTAAAATACAGATTTTGCAAAAATTTAATTAATAACATTACTCTCCATTTTGTTATTCATTAACAAATGCACATCTTTTTGTTATTATACAACTTTTTTCATTTGTCTTCTTTATCTTCCTTCTTCTTTAAATTGTGTCTTTTAAACGATGTTATTACATTAATTCTTTTTCAACCTTGTGTCTGTCACTCAACATAATACATAACTTTACATAATGAGAATAAAGCATCTCGAAATAACTGAATGCTTACTTAATCAAGAATAACTCAGATTTTTGCTCATAATACATGCTTATATGTACAGAATCCCACTGGCGCTCGTATCAATGAGACTGATCTTGATTAAGTGCAATGTAAGAAATGCAAGGACAACATGAACACAAACAGCTAAATAATCTCTACTTAATGACAACAAAGAAGCAAAAATTCAGAATACTATAATATGCATCAATTAGTAAAAACAAGCAGTAAACTTTTCACTTTACCTAAAAGTAAATAAAGACAACATAATTTCAGTATGCGTACATATACATATGCGCAGATATATATGTATATATATGTATATACGGATAGGTATAAAATTTGGTCAACTTTTTCTCTGTATGATATTATCAAATATAGCATATATATATATAAGAATATTTTGTACGAATATAGAATAATAAAATGGTTGGTAAACAGTAAGTATAATTATTCAACAAGTACTACATGGTAATAGTAGTAACATTGTGGTTGACTGGAGGAGAGATAAGTAAATTAAAATTCGTGTAAAAACATGATCAGTTCTCGTTTGATTTCTAAAAGAACAAGATCGTATCATGTTTTAAGGACTTCATATTTGTCTCGCCTCCAACACCAATACTAATAATTATAATAATACTAACTACAGAATTAATTTATATTCTTACCGAAAAAGTACTGATAAAAAGAACAAAACATATGCGATATCATCGTGAACCCAATATTGCAAGTATGTCATGATTTTTGGTTGTAAAGTATAAAACAGATAACATAGAAGGTTATTCCAACAGCACAATATCAAATTACTGTCAGTATAACCAATGTATCTTTTTAACTATTCAATTGCTCCCATTGATGTTTAACTATGCAAACATCTTTCGTTAACTTTTTCTTCTGATTGTATACCATCATTACTTCTCTGATACTATAGATTTATAGAATGGCTTATACAATATTTATATTAATACTTACATATACTAATCGTTTACTGACAGTACTTTGAAATATACTGTTTTATCAGGAAACCTTCCTACTATGCATAAATATAATCCATTTGTTCACTTGTTATACTCAACATAAACATTGTATTTTATCATTCTTTAAGTAGGATGTATGTCAGTTAAGCTATCTTACAAAGCTAATCTCAAAAAACGAGATTATGACTATTAATGTTTCCGAAAGTATCACGTTTTACCCACGCATTTTGCTGAGCTCATCGAACCATGCCATGAAAATGTATCTTTTCCCTTAAATCAGATATTGGCTGCCTATTAAAATATAAGTCTTTCATCCTACCTTCGCTTTTTCTTTGCAGATCTGCTTCCATCTTTTTAAAAAATAAGTTTTCATAAACAAAAATAATATCTCCTTTGCATGACGTTTGTACGTTGACGGTAATGCAAGGCCGTGGCACACATTATTCCATTCTACGCGCAAATCACGTGTGTAAAATACATAAAAAATTTCAGCGAAAATCTCAATTTGAACTTTATATTCGCATCGTCGTCGTCCAATTCAACACTTTGTATCGTATCTGTGTGTACGCATTTTATATATTTTGCACACTTGACGCAGAATTTGTAGCAATGTGATGTCTTTTTTGTAACATTTGTATTATTCAAAATAAAATAAAATTATTCAATTCCCCGCGGACCATCTATTGGCATAGTATGTAAAACTTCGTCCAGTAACTGAAGAGCTCTGTGTAAGTGTACCTAGATCAAATATACGTATAACTTATTTATTTTTTATTTGTTATAAAAACTGATGATAAAAAATATAAAATTAAATCAAATTGTACGTACCTCTATCCAACACGGAGTTTCTTTTATACTTTGTCGGGGATAGTCGGGACCCCAACCTTTTACAAAACTTAAACGTAAAATACAAAGTCGCCGGAGATCATCTACGCCTATCCCTGCTGCTGCGCTAAGACCTATATTATATCATACAATTAATGAAATATCTATGAAATTATTGTATTGGCAATTAGAAAAACTAATGACAAACTTTTAGTAATAGGTGCTCCATGCGTTAAATGTCCTGCTACAGCAGCAGCTTGGGCTGCAGCTGCAGCTTGAGCAGTAGCAGCCTGTCCTCTCATTTGTTTATGACACTGTCGTAAATCAAAGACCTTAATATATGCAGAAGGATAAATTTTATGTACTGCATCACCGGGTGCACGACCTGCTTCTCTGTCTAAATAGTAAGACTGTACAAAGACACTATGTTCACTTTGGCATCTTAACCAAACATCTCCTTCACCCCTTAAATCTAACACAACTCCCTTTCCTGAAAGGTTAATAACTCTATTAACTAATTGTCGTTGCCAAAAGTGAAGAAAAAGTATAACTAGTTATACCTATATGAAGTCGCGCCTTTTCACTTTGTTCTGTTCTGTGTACATTACTCAATGCACCTAGGCAAAATCTATTACCACCGCTTGGATCAACGTATCCATCGACTGTTACGGTAGGGCAACCACTGCTTACTTTAAATGTTTCTCCTACTTGAGTATCTAATTCGAAATAGCCAACGGAACACCAGTATTCTGGCGCTGGCTGCGTAGAAAGTAAACCACCAATATTTCCACCCACTTCACCTCCATGACCACCCCCTATTGAAAATATAAATTATAAAATTCGTAAAAAAATTCAGTATATTTTTCGTAATATTAACTCACAGAAAGAGGTCGGATGAAGATGCCTATGATCTGGAGGCTGCATGCTTTGTGTATATGTAAGAGTATTAGCCCCAGTCCATTGTGGTGCCCCTGAATTATAAGAAGCTGTGCCCACTGGAAATCCATTTGGATGATGAAGGTGCACAGGTGATACAGGAGAACTTTGACCTTCTCCTAGTAAAAACATTAATTTCCAGTTCAATTCATATTCTGAGCAGTTTTATACAGTAGAACAA